AATTGAACTCATGTGGAAGTGGCTTTAGCTTCTTAGTGCTGTGCTTTAACCCGCTGTGCCACCAGGGAGGGCCTGTTTTGCTTTTTTAAATTATCACATAAATAAATAGCAAATCTGGGTTGTCAACCGTGATAACACATCATACAAAGGATTATTACCCTCAGAACTCTGGGCCAGAGGGCTAGATCAGTGAATTTTTAGCTTGTAGAATTACATGTTAGAGTTGGTGAAGACCTCAGCAACACTCTAAAATGTGCAGATAATATGTTTGGGGGCTGTGTTTCATGGATTGCAAAGTGTTTTCTTTTTAAAAAAAAAGATTTATATTTTATTTATTTGTGTATATAAGAACTGGGGCCTAAGCCAGAAATGCAGGGCATAAGAGAATTAATCAGAGACAGAGTGGGGGGCAGAACAGGTGGATCTACTGAAACACACTGCTGAGGGGAGCAGTGGGGCAGGTCAGGAGAGGAAGAGGCCAGCTGCTTCCTGGCTGGGATCGAACCAGGCAACAGCGACTGATGATAGCACTGAGACTTAGCCCCTGCACCAGTAGGCAGGCCCTTGCAAAGTATTTTCATTAGCTTGGTCTTAAGTCTATCCTCATAGCGTCACATCAAGTGAGCAGAAAAGGATATGGACTCGGTGAGTCCATAGGAACACCGAGAGGGAATGGAAGAGGGTGGTATGGGCTGAATCCCAGCTCCAGTGGGCATTAGACAAAGTGTCTTTAGCTGCCTGCCTCTTAGTTACCTCAATGGTAAAGTGAATATTAAAACATCCATTGGATGGTTGTGGTGAAGATTAAACAAGATAGCTCGTGAAAAATCTTTGTGCTGAACTTAAAGTTAAAAGGGGCTCCTTGAGTGTTAGCCAGCAATCAGCCAAATACACAGTGAGGAGGCTGTAGGACTGGGCCTCTGGCTCCAAGTTAGAACCCTTTACCCACCCCACATCAAGCCATTTCATTTTATGACCTTCCTACCTGTTCAGTCACAGCTGAGCACCCCAGCCTCAGAAGTGAGCTGCACATTAGGAGGCAGGCAATGAAGAGGCAGCCTTGGTCTCAGGTGACCTAAAAGAATTAATTATTGGCCTGGGGTCAAGCGTACCAGTTGCCAAAGGGGAAAAAGAAAAACTTCCCTCTAACTGGTACTGTGAGCAGGTGAAAGAGGAGTTGGGCTCTTGCTGTGGCTTCACAGGAGTGTTGAAATGACAGACAGGACTGACAGGCATATCCCTGGGCAGATGGATCACCTGATGCAGGCTCTGGGCCCGAGCCGTGGGATTGGTCTAAAAAGGGGTTGTGCTGACCCAATGGCTGGGCCTTGGCATCTTGTCAAAGTGCGGCTGGATCCAGACATAAAAATTACAGCCTAGAAATAGCTCTGGGGCAGTCTGCCGGACTCAGCTGGGGAGAGGAAGCAACCATGCAGGTGCTAGCCAAGCGCTACCCCAAGAACTGCCTGCTGACTGTTATGGACCGGTACTCAGCTGTGGTGCGCAACATGGAGCAGGTGGTGATGATCCCCAGCCTTCTGCGGGACGTGCAGCTGGGTGCACATGCTGGAGCCCCTGACCTCTACAACTACTTCACTATGCTCAAGGCCATCCGTGTGGATGTGGACCATGGGCTCCTGCCCCGGGAGGAGTGGCAGGCCAAGGTGGCAGGTGAAGCCAAAGAGACCGAGAGTGAAACTGCAGAGACCGAGGAGGAGGAGGAGGAAAGCCTCTCGGGGGAGCTGGACCTGGAAGCTCAGTTCCACCTGCACTTCTCCAGCCTCCATCATATCCTCACAAACCTTACCCTGAAAGCTGAGGAGGTGACCAGGAAATACCAGGAGATTACGGGACAGGCCGTGTAGGCCTTGGACTCTAGGGAAGGTAATGGTGGCCATGCTAGTGGGTGTCAGAGTCCACTGAGGGACATGCTGGGGGAAGGAGGGATCAGGGATGCAGCCCAGTGGGAGAGGAAGAGAGACCAGCCATCAGAGCCACTCTCGCTTCAGGGTGTGGGGAGCACAGACCAAGAGCCAAAGGCCCGGCCTGCCTTACGCTCCTCACCCAGAGTTGTGAGCAATGACGGTGAATTATGGAGACAGAAGCAGCAGCCAGAGTACATATCTTCTGTGCACGTTGTGTTTGTGCATGTGTACTTTTAAATATGTGAATGCTTAGGAGGTGAGTACTGAATGAGGCTTCACCAGCTACTTCAGAATCTTGATTAAAGCTATGGACTCTCTCGCCAGAGTCCAGACACAGACACATAACTACACATATAATTTCAATGGATCCATATTGTGGATCCGTCAAGGTCCATCCACAAATCCTGAGAATCCCTGTCATCTTATCAATAATAGTTTCCATCCGAGCACGTAGTGCCAGCGTGGCTTCTCAGTGCTTGACATAGAATTAACTCATTTTATCTTCATAAGAATGCTAGGAAAATAGGTTTCATAACTTACATCTTAGAAATGAAGAAGTGTGCTGTTTTATAACCTACATTGTACAAATAAAGAACCTTGCCCAAGGCATGTATATTTACTCAGGTGTGAATTATAAGTGTGGGGTGGAGAAGGGGGGGCGCAGTACTTCCAATAGCTCTTCAAGTTACAGAACATAGAAAATTCTGTTTCTCTGACACATGGGAGGCTTAGGTGAGGCTACTCAACTGACAGGGTTATTCTGGCCATCCCAGGCTGCAGCCAGCCAAGAAAAAGCTATAGGATCGCTATCTCGATACTCTAATCTGTTCCCGGGATGCCAACAGACATATGCCCATGGCCGGGTCTATTTGAGAACACAGGTAAGCATGCTGGAGTCTGAGCCCATGTATCTGTACACAGAAGGGCTAGGGTTGTGAGGGGTGGATGACAGCAAACTAGACAAATGGTGGTGGTACAGGGCAGGAGGTGGGAAGGGGACCTGGGACAGTCACTGATGGGTCACTCATGGGGAAAGCTTTGGAGAAATCTGACCATGGCACCTCCCAGTTTTATTTTGTGCTACTTGCCAGTCTCACAACCACAAACTGGCTTTATGAGTGATAACTCAAGTCCACATCCACAGGAGTCTTAAAAACACCCAACACAAGAATATGAGATGGGATTTTTTTTATCTTTACTCTCCTAGTGAGGAAATTAAAGCTAGGGAGGTAAAGTGACTCACCCAGTCACATAGTAAGGGGACAAAAGCAAAACGAGCCCAACATTGAACTAGGTGTTTTCTAAGATTCCCTCTGCTATATTGTGCCATTTTCAAAATCAGCCATCAGGCCGCTCTGTAGCAATAGGGGAATAATCATGGGCTCCAACAGTCTACCCAGAGCTCTGCTCTGGATATTTTCTTTCTTTCCTTTTTCAACCTTTATCCCAAACTGAAACTGTTCATTTCAATCCTGCCTCCCTCTCTCCTTGAGACTCCTTGGGTGACTTTCAGAAGTTCTGGAATAGAAGTGACCTGTATTAACTGCTCTGGGTCCCAGTCCTGGATCCACAGCTAATGAGCCGAGGCCTCGAGCAAGCTGCTCACTTTTCTGGGTTTTAGTTTCTTCCTAGTAACAGTACCAGTAAAAATAAACTGAAGCTTGAATCGTTTGATAGTTTAAAATCATTTGCTATCAATTATCTAATGGAAAAAAACTAGAGGCCTGAGAAGTAAAATGAGTCAAAGGTTACTCAGGAAATGGCAGAGCAAGAGATGAACTCCTGCCTGTTTAATACACATCTCACTCCTTTCCTTAGCACCAGGGTGTTTCTTCAGAAATGTCTAAGGCTGCAACTAGAGTTGGCAGGAGTTGGGGATTGCAGAGTAGGTTCATATCCCATCCTTGACCAACCAAACTGCTTCAGACAAGACCAGGAATCCTACACCATGTTTCAACACACACTAATTTGATTTTCAAGGGGACTGTCTGTTATAGCAGAGGTTTAAACATCTGCTCTTGTCCTCATACTGCCATTGACCCTGGGCGCTTCACTTCCTTTCTGCATCAGTTTCCCTCTGAGTAAAAGCTAAAGGTGAAACGCGATGTGTTATTGCAGCTCAGATAATCTGATTCAACTTATGGTGCTGCAACACTGCCAATGTTCCCACAGCAATACCAACACTGGGCTTGTTCACTGCTTTACCTACTTCAATAGACAAGTGACAGTACCATGGTGATTTGACTTTATACTGATTTAGTTTTCTTTTTTTGCACTCACTCCACAGATCACTTTACATGATTGAAGGCAGACTATCTGACAAGGACATGGAGGAATTCCTTCTCTCTGATGAGACCAGAAAGGCTTGGTCCTGCAGCTTGAAGTGCAGGCAACTTGAGTTATCTGGGATGCTTCCCTATCTCCCTCCCAGCACCGATCTCTGGATTCACACTGGGTCATCTCTGGGATGCTTGTTGCTATTCATAACTCCCCCTGCTCCTCTTACAGCTTAGGATGGCCAGCGGTTCATGAGGGCCTCTGTGTTACCTGGCCAGTCTGGTATGGCAAAAAGACAATAAGCTTCAGCACCTGAACCACCAAAGTTCACAGCCCTCTTCTAGGCTGTCATTCACTATGTGATCTTGGGCAAGTACATTAACCTACCAGAGCCTAAATTTCCCCAATATAAAATGGGGATAGTACTACCTACCTCACGAGGTTGCCATGAAAATTAAACAAGATGATGAATCAAAAGCACTTGGCGAAAGCTATTATAGTCGATTTTTTCCTCCCAATTTACCTTCTATTTACTCCAGCCTTTGCTTTTTTACCCTTCAGACTCAGGGGTAGCAGAGTCCCTCAGGATGAATGGTTCACCCTCATGTACCAGCCAACCACAGGTATAGCTAGATACAGGTGAACTATAAACCTATTTATTGCAATAAAAAATTAACACTGAAAAAAATGCCAGCATTTCGCCATATCTTTATTATCTCTAAAGTACTTTCTCGAACTAATTTCTCTTTTAACAAGTGGTAATCAAGAGAACAGAAGTCGAGCTCACCTGACTTTGTCCCGAAGGCATGTCTGTATTTCCACTGTCATTTAATTTGAAATCACACATACACAGGGAGATAATTTTCTTAATCTCCAAAAACTAATTTGATTATAAAATCTGAGCTCAGAAACAAATTTTTTGAAAAAGCATTTGGGTTCAATAGACCATAAAAAAAACACTTCACTATAGTTAGGTGGGATATTTCACTTCTGCACCAAGCTTTGCTATAGAGTGTGTGATAAAACCACTTACCCCAGGATGATCCATTTCAGAGCAAAGGCTCATTGGGAGTATTAGGCTTTTTATTGTTCTCCTGGCTGAGTCTCCTCTTTCTAAACGGCCTTTATACTGTTTATAGAGAAACAGTTCAGAAATACAAACCAGACCATGTTTTTCCCACCTATATACAGGATCAAATCACAATCATTCTAATGACTCAGGAGCCTCCCATAATCTGGCTTGTTTTATATTCATTATGCACTCTGATGCAGGCAAATCTTTCTGTAAAGGGCCAAATACTAAATAGTTTAGCCTTTGCAAGCCAGAAAGTCTGTCATCAATCATTCAACTTTGCTGCTGTAGCATAGAAGCATAAAGGACATGTAAGCCCGCGAGGATGGTTGTGTTCCAATAAAATTACACCAGCAGTCGATCAGATTTGGCCCACAGGCTGCAGTTTGCCAACTCCAAACTAGAACTGCACTCCATTCTAACATCTATCAGGTGTTTTCTTACATCTGGGTGAAAGAAAACGATTCTTTGATGAACTACTTTTCTTATGACACAAGGAGTCAGAGTGCTTGTGATGGTCACTTTAATCACAAGGTGTGAACACAGAGGTTAACATTTATAACTTCATATGTAATAGAAACATATTCCGTAAAATTCCAAAAATAACCAGTATCGGTGAAACCAGGGGAAACATTCTGGAGACTTCAACGCACTGGATGGAATTCTTCGAGAATTTCGCCATATGTTTTCTTATCTACAAAGGAAACACCACAAAAAGGTTTTTTATATATTTTTTTATAAATCGTATTTCCTAAAGACAAATCAACATTTAACGTTCTTATAAATAGAAACCTCTAAGGATTTTCTTGTCCTCAATCATGGCTCAGCAATCCCTGAGGCATTCTATTACGATAAAAGAAAAACAACTTTAGAGGAATCTGTGGTGACAACAAAATGGCTGCCTGGAGTGTTGCCAAGGGATCCTGTCTGAAGGGGTGGAGGGAAAGACCAGGGAGGGTCATAGGTCAGCGAGCAGGGGTGAGGAGCTGAAGTCGCCCAGCTGTCATGCCCTCCAAGTCAGTGTGTAAGGCTCCTGAAATGCAGGCTGCACAGGACAGAAGAAGCCTATGAACTGTTCATGCTCATGCTGACAGAGGGAACTGCTGAAAATATGATGGCAAGAGATAGAGGTCTGGGATGAGGACTACTCTGTCACTGGGACTCACTCTTAGGAATCAATTCCCATGCTTCCTTCCAGCTCTAAAATCCAACAATTCTGGTATCTCCTATCCCTGACCATTCACTATCATAGCTTTGTACTGATACTTGAGCAATTCACTGGCCATAATGCTTACTTCGGATCCACTATAAATTCACATATGTGACTGAAGATTATGGGAATATTATATAGAATAACAACATTTTAGAATTAAATAGGATCTCAGATCATCAGTCTAATGAGATTTAAATGCTTAATATTACACATTTACATGAATAGGAAAACCTATTTGAAATCTATTCATAGTTTTACAAGCTCAAAACGTTTTACTCATTCATTTATTCCCATGTGCATACATCTGTACTGCACTGAGTGTATGTGTGTAAAATACAGACAAGAAAACAGTTATAATTATTTTCAGAGTGAACATAGATTGAATATGTCAAGAAGAGTCTTGTCTATAGCAGGGTGAAGGATTCACTGAGATGATGAATCTTGAGCAAGAATATGCTATGGTAGACAAGGTAGAAATGGGGTAAGTGGATCAAGAAGAAGGTACAGCGTGTACAAGGTGATAAAAGGCAGGTTTGGGACACAGCATTCCCAGAGACAGGAGATGAGTGCTGAGAGGCGAGGCAGGGTCTGCCTAGGCCAGCAATTATTTAAGTGTCTATTCTGCGTCTGTGCTAGAGGCTGGGGAAACAGGTAATGCTCTAGTGCAGTGAGGGACCTAGCCCTGGGTATGTAGTGTGGTGGGTAAAAGGTAGAGAGGCAAAATAGGTCTGCGAAGCAAATCCCCCAAATCTGGGGAAATAAGTCATCCTAAGGAGTCTGGTCTTCATCCTATAGGCAATGGATAGCTACTTTAAGGGATTCATTTTAAGCACATCCATAATTATCCAGGGAGACAGGACCAGAGGCAAAGGTGAGCTGAAGGCGAATGCAATCCTTTACGAAAAAGTATCAAGATCTGAAACATGGTAGTGGCAATGGAAGAGAAAGGGTAGTTAAGAACTGATAAATATTTAGGATGTAGAACTGGTACCTGATGGTGACTGGAAAATGAAAGGTTTCTGGCTAGAGTAAGGCCATTAACTAAGGCAGGCCACAGAACAGGAAGTCTGAGCAGGCAAAGTGAACATGAGCTTGGTTTGCTGTCCAAAGGACACAGAGGCGTTCAGCCAGAAAATAGATATATGAGTTCAAAAGAATTCTGGACTATGGACAAAACTGTGGGGTTGGGGAGATGTCAACAGAACCTAAGAGTACTCAACCACAGGCATAGCTAAGATTAACCACGGAAAATATCAGAGTAAGAAAGAGGTTTTTTATTGTTAATTTAAAATTACCTTTATCAGGAAAATCCTCCGGATGTGATCTCATGTATGCAAACATATCATGGTCCCTCACAGCGTACATATAGTCCTGACGTTTTAAAAGATGATATCCAATAAAAATAAAGGAGGTAACATATAGAAGCTGGCGATGCAAACCTGAAATTCAAATAGCAATGCAAAATCAATGTGTATTAAGAATTCATTTTTTAATAATTCATATATATCTAAATTATTGTTATCTCAATATTCTTTTCTACATGGTGAGTCTGAACAAACACTGTTGACCTTGAGGTACCTCCCTCAGTTACCTTCCTCTGGCAGTTTGTGAAAAGCAACATTCAGTCTACAAACATGACAATAGAGGCCAAGATTTTTAAAATTCAGGTTTCATAAATATCTTCGTGGAAAGGGTAGAAAGTACAAAATCCTGAATATTAGAGAACAGAAAAAACTCTTTCCTTTTTTAAAAACTTAACTTTAGATCTAAAAACTTACATTGTAGGGCATGTTCAGGACGGCCTAAAACAATTTGGTTTGTCTCCATATAAGAATTTATATTTGCGGCCCTCCCTGGTGGCCCAGTGGGTTAAAGCACTGCACTAAGAAGCTAAAGCCACTTCTGCATGAGTTCGATTCCCGCCTGCCCCGGAGGAGATCCACATGGCGTGGCAGACCTCTCCTGACCTGCCCACTGCTCCCCTCAGCAGTGTACTTCGTAGATCTGCCTGTTCTGCTTCCCGCTCTGTCTCTGGTGAAGCCTCTCACCCTCCGCATCTCTGGCCTGTACCCCAGCTCTGTACAAATAAATAAATAAATCTTAAAAAAAAATTTTTATTTGCATATAAATTTCCTCTGTACCTTGCAAATTTTGTAGCATTTGCATATATGACCTAGTATCCTCCTATTAAAAAGATCATGCTATTACAATAGACTGGAGAGGGTCAAATCACATGATCTGGGGAAAGACAAAATTTAGTCTAATGGGGGTGATCCAAAGGTATGAACTTTATATGCAGAAATTTTTTGCAAAAGGTTAACTGAAGGTCTGACTTCTTAGCTAGGCCCCAGAATACTCTCCTTAGTCCCCTTTTTATCCCCATAACTATTCCTTCAAATAATTTATTCCTATAGTGTTATGTACAATCCATGTTCTGATGACCCATAGTAAGTTCAACTCATACATTCAAGCTGAATAACATGTATCTCCAAGTGTTTGACAGCTACACCTAATAGTCCTAAATGAACTTATTTCTTTCCAATTCATACCTTTCTCCTAATTGAGAGAATAAGACCACTTACCCAAAATCAAAAACCTGAGTAATAAACACTAAATTACCCCTTTTTTTCTATTCTTTTCCCATATCCAGTCAGAGTCCTGTCAATTCCATCTTGGATATTTCCTTTCCTCACTTCAAGGGACTTAATTCTTTATCATTTCATTTCCCCTTTGACACTGATCCCAACTGAAGGAATTTTTACTAATGCATAAACCTAGCTTGCCAGTCCTTTATTCAACTACACCCAACAGAAGTCCACATTCCTGCATATGGCCTGGGCTGGACAGATCATAGTAATATTTTTGGATTCTCTCTTATCCTAACCAGTCACTAATGGACCACCTGAAGCATAACAAAGGTAGTATACAAGGTTTTCCTAATGTGCCACAGATAGAAAGACACATAAAGACTCAGAATCTCTCTGCTTACCCTTATTCCTTACAGAAAAATGCTCCATAAATGTATCAGATAATGGTAACAGTGTCCCAGAGCTAAGGGCACAGCTTGGTCTCTTACCAAGTCCCTATTTCCCTACTTCTTACCCCCACCCCCAACCCAGTGGCTCTCTCTCTTACACCACATTTACAAACCCTCCATAATCATTTCCCCCTTCTTTCCTTAGTGAATTTAAATTTGGAGGGCATGGTCCTCTTTGCAGAACATCATAAGTTACTGATACATTAAACTAGAAATCAATTAAGTATTGGGCTGTCAGAAAGTCACAATGAATTTTTGCATAAAAAACAAAAAATATATCATGATTTTCCCAGCAACCTAATATTTAATATATTCACTATACTAAGATACCAACTAACTAAATTTAGGACAGCCAGTTGTAACTAAAACAAAGGTTTTTAAACAAGTGGTGGGAGAAAAACTTTAGAAAAAAATTTAATGTTTTCTGCTAATCTCTGGTTTCATTAACAGAATATTTCAATACTGCCCACAGAAACTCCTTATGGCTATAGTTAGAAAATCCATCATAACTGTCTCCTTCCTTGATCCTCCAATTGTCACACTTGTTTCCCTATGTGTATAATCTGATATCAACAATTCATCTTTTCAACAAATCTGTCAACCTCTGAAGTGTTGGGACCATGCTTTATACTTGCTTAGAATTTACACATATGTGTTCATTCAATATTTAAGAGAACCACTATATGCCAAACAGTGAGCTAGAAATATGCGTTCAATAAAAGCTGCTGAGGATAATCATTTCAATAAGTCCTCAAGACCTACATTTTCTAAAGCAATTTAGGGCAAGTCAAGAACTGATTCCTAGCCCAGGTTAAGTGCTTTAATATACATCAGCCCTTCTGATTACCACCATATTACAAAGTGATATTATAGATATTATCCTTGGCTTACAGATGAGGAAACTAAAGCTTAGAGACAAGTAACAGTCTCAAAATCAAATGGCCCATAGAGCAGAGGTGATGTCAAACCCTAAAGCATGTGCTCTTAACCACTATGCTCTTCTGTCTCCCAGAAAAGGCAGAAAACACTGCTTGACAATACATTAAGATTAAGAGGAATGTGCTTCACATTTCAACCAAACTACATTCTTTGGAACAGTCTTCCATCCAATATATACCTCCTTCATGCCCTCAAAGAGCTCTCTGCTCACCCACTGTTAGCAGAACACTTACCAACTAGACTCATAATGGACTACTTATCTTCCTGACTCTATAAACTCCTCAGGGTCAGGGTGGTATTCCTCACCCTATATACCCAATTGTAACACTGCCTACTACAGAGGAGCTCAGTTAAGGTGGAATAAATACACAGTAAACTGTAACAAGAGCGAAGGAGAGGGAATTCAGTCCAGTATTTTATTCAGTCCAGATATTTTACCTAACCACTCTCATTTAATTCAAATATGCAAAGATTAGTTATTCTCATTTTATAGACAGGGAAATTTTGACTTTGAATGGCCCAATCAAGTAACTTGCCCACGGTGTCCTGGCTGTGAAGCGGTGGCGCAAGGACATTCAGTTCCAAAGTGGAGCTCTTTCCATTATACCAAGTGGCAGACTTGGGCAAATGTGGGGCAGAGATGAAAAGGAGAAAACATCAAGTTCCCAGGGGCAGGAGAGGACAAAGATCACTGCTTTTGTGGTGTGGGATCAAATCAATGGGATGGGATTTCGATACCATTTGACCATTGGAAATGCTGTGATTTGGTGGAAGGCAAAGATCTCCAGGCAAGAGATGTAAGTGAAGTGGTTACTGGTTGCCTGAACCATTGTATTAACTTTCTGACTCCTTAGCTCTAATTAGTGCTTCACATAGTTGACAAAGTTGATCTTTTAATAGGTCTGCATTAGAAAGAAGTAGCTGTAATGTAGCTTCCTGATGCTTGACTAATTGAGATGTTAACTCTGACTTGAGAATCTTTTCCAAGAATGATTTTAAAAGGAAAGTTTGGATTTTTAATGGTACCAAAACATTTTTGTTTTGTATGACTTTATTGCTCTGTATAATTCCCATATGCATTATATATTGCAATTTATGGAGATTTTGTTTCTTATTTACATACTGAATCATGTTACTTTTATAATTCGAGGACACAGTTGGCTTAATTAATGTTTGCCCTTTTAGTAAAATTTAAGGGTAGAATTAAAAATAAAAACACAGGTTTCTCCACACCTTTCCCTCACCCCACAATGTTTGCTAGGTTCCTGTCAGACTAAAGAATAAATTGTGGTTATCTAACTAAATCTCCTCTGTGACTTCATTCTATGCCTTGTCATGCACACACAATCATCAAACTTCCACCCATTCAAGAGGTCTTTGCTTCCATTTACTCCCACTAGCCTTCCATGGGTCTAGAAGACTCTCTCCTACTATCGGCTTGATATATCAATGCTAAGCTCAAAGATCCTCTTTTTCCTTTGGAAATCCAAAGCCCTTAGCACAGCTACTCGGTCGCTATCACCAGGACAGTCAGTTGCTGAAAGGTCACTCCCAGCAGGAAACAGTCGACAGATTTAGCGTCTCCTATTCAGTAAGGGCCGCACACCAGCAGCATCAGGGAATTCATAGACATCCGGCTTCTTCCCGGGCCCCAAGTTTTTCCATGCATACGAAGTCTGAGAAGTACCGATTTCCAATATAGACGCTGAGATCTAAAAACAGGTTCTTTACTGACTAGCAGTATGACCTTGGGCAAACTGCTTTAACCTGCTCGAGGCTTAGCTTCCGCATTGTGGGGAGCACCTCCTCGGAGGGGATTTTAAAAACTGCATGTCATAACACGTCATGACTGCATGGCATGGAGTGAACGCTCATTTCTGCACACACACACCGCGCCAAGTGAGGGAAGCAGGCAGTCCAGTCGCTTCCTAGGGTCGCGGGGGCTGCGACCCCGGTTACCTCAAGTGCCCAATGACAGACCTGCGAGTCTCTGCGGGGCGCGGAAGTCCCAGGGAGGCGAGGCGGGGCCGGCTGCGAGAAAGGGCCGGGAGAAACCGGGGCACCTCAGCAGCCGGGGTAACGCCCTGCGCCCCCATCGATCCCGCCCGCGGGCCCCTCACCCGCCCGCGCATCCCTCACCCGCCAACAGCACCGGCCTCCGCCGGATCGCGTTATCAAGCAGGCCGGAGCAGTAACCCAAGAAGCCGATGTAAGCGAGCCGAGGGTCGGTCAGCTTGGGCGGCGGGAGGCTTCGGGCCTCATCCGGCAGGAACTTTAAGGGCTCTCGGCCCGGCCGTCCGCTCATCATCGTGAAGCCGTTCCCACTTGAGGGCTGGCCTCAGACCGCCAACTACAAAGAAAACCACCACGACCACTGGCGAGGACCGAGCCGCGAGCCTTCTCCTTCCAGCACCCGGCTGAAGGGCATGGCGCAGGGCGGAGCAGCGCCCAAACGCTTCCCCGGGCGCGCTGCAGCCAGAACCTCGTAAGAGAGGTTCCGGGCTATTGAATGGCCCACCTGCAGCACTAATTTAGTCTGTGGGGTTTGAGCCGGAACCACCTGCAAAGGGAGAACGCGAGAGTCAGACAAGGAGTCTAGGACACTGGTTGGTTTGTTTTCTCCCTAACCCCAATTTTTTTCCCCCAATAAATTCCCACCTGGAATTGCTTTTCCTGCCCCCGTCCCTGAATGTTCCTTTAGCAAAAATCTCTCTCTATTTATTTATATCTTAAACCATTGTTCATTTTTGTACAATGTTTGCTTTCTATTCCCAGGTGTGGTCCCCATAGAATTCCTACCACCATAGAATTCTGCGCACTATCACCATAGTTCCGTGTGCTCTAACCGTCCATGTTTTAATCCCTATCCAGCCCTCTCCCCTGCAGAATGTCTGATTTATTAGTAGCCCGTTAATTTTGTTTTTTATTGTTATTATTTCCCCCGAGGCTTTATTTGGTTCCCCCATATTACTCCTATAAGTGAAATCATCCGATATGTTTCTTTTTCTGCCTACTTTCATTAAGCATAATCCCTTCTAGCCCGTCCATGTTGCTGCAAAACGCATCAGCTTATCTTTTTTGATTGTAGAATAGTATTCCATTGTGTATATAATACCCCTTCTTGGAAGACACCTGCACCCCTATGTTTACTGAAGATTTGGAAACAACCCAAATGCCCCTCCTCTGCCACCTCAAATTTATTTTTGCCTCCAGCAGAAGTGGGCTTGATGTACAGTTTCGAGATGGAAAATTAATTGAAATCTGAAAAAAGCTAGTTTTCACTTACTGAGTTTCCAGTCATTCTTTTGCACAGGCACACTTTGCAATGCATGTTAAGGTCCAGTCAGCAACAAAGAACTCAGAGAACTGGAGGCTTGAATCATTTAGCCAAGCTCTTGGAATTTAGGACTTCAGGTTCTTGCACATGGTTGAGGGAGGAGGTGTTCTCAAAAAGTTTTCCTAAAGAAAAGAGGAATCTGTAACCATCGGTCAAGTAATTGTCCATCCCTTCACCTACCTCCAATAATGGGAAAAATACATTTGAACAGCTTTCTCTTAACACAAAATAAAACCCTTTCTAATGTTGAGCTAAAAAATGTCTTATTTCCTGTCCATTCATTAGGGATCATCATTCTTTTATTCCTAGTAGAATGTGGCACCCACATTTTTATCCCCAAAGGTAAGCATGTAGCTTTTATCCTTTCACAATAAGTGTGGACTACAACTACCAGTACCACCCCTACTATTTGTACCCTTCACTTCTTCCTTAGGATTTTAAAATCACCTGTCTTGTTGGGATATTACTTGGAATTACTTTGAACTTATCAAATGTGGGGAGAGATGATATGTTTAAATGCTGAGCCTTCTCATGTCTTAGCATGGTATTTATTTCTTCATTTTTTAACCTTTTTAAAAGTCCTCATTAAGCTATTATATTTTAGTCTTAAATAATAATTTATTGTTTTCATCATGGTAAGATTAGGATTTTCTCAATCCTGTATCATTACTATAATGTACCTGTAGCCAGATCACCATATAGTCGGCCACCATAGACCATTGTGCTGCCTTTCTTCTTCCTTTCTTCCCCCTTCCCTTCTTCCTCCCCACATTGGCTTCAGTTCTGTAGACAATTTTCAAGAGTTAGCTTTTAAGTTTGCCTTTCTCTGGTTCTTAGTTTGGTTCCTCAGTATTCCACTTATTAGTGTTCCACTTAATAGTATTCCATTCAGTGTTTATCTTTTCCCTCTCATTTCATTTAGCATTATCTCATCTAACTTCATCCAGATTGCTGCAAATGGATGGGTTTATTTTCTTTGATTACTGAGTATTATTCCATGCGTGTACCATATATATACCCCATCTTCATAGTCCATTCATTTGTTTTTTTTTTTTGGCATTTAGGCTGTTTCCATATCCTGGTTATACCTAAAATTCTTGCACATTTTATAAGTTTGTCATAAGGCATTTTTAGTTTCTATTTCTGATATAAGTGACATCTTATACTCCCTTTTATAGTTGGTTGGTTAGAATGTTGTTCTGTATCCAGCAATGTTGCTAAACTCTCTTAATAATTCTATCACTTGGTTTTGTTAGATTTCCCCATACCCTTGGCACCTCTTGCCTGTTGCCATTGCCAGACTTTATTTTTGCCAAATCTTTTGGTGGAAATGTTATTTCATTATTGTCTTTCCTTGATTCTTACAGAAGTTAAATATCTTTTCATGTTTATTGGCTATTCTGGTTTCCTTTTCTGTGTATTAATTAACTATTAATTTTTAACCTATTTTCCTTTTGGGCCAAGTTTCCACTGGATGATTTGTTGGAATTATATAAATATCTGCAATACTAATAAAATTTATTTTTTATGTTGTCAGATTTACCTACTTCCTGCCTTTTTGAATTGTGCTTTTTATGCCTCATTTGCCTTCTTACCTTCAATTAAATTATCCTATGTACTCCATATTACCATGCCCAATGATACCAATTTTATTTAATATTTCTGAAACATTTGATACACTCCAATTACACTCTCTTTTAGTTTCCAGGATACCACAAAATACTAATTTTTCACTTACTTCACTTTACCAATTTTCTTTAATGTTCCCTTTTTTTTCTCCTCAGACTATACATGTGAAATTTTCTCAAAACATGTCCTGGTGGGTGCCCTTGGTAGCACAAGGAGTTAAAAGCACAGCACACTATGATGATGGCACATGGGTGATTTGGTGATGGGAAACCCACAGGGATTACAACTGAAATGAAAAAATGCACAACATGATGTAAAAATAAACTATTGTATTATAAAAAAAACAAAAACAAAAAACTGAGCAGAATTGCACCAAGAATGACAGCATCTAAAAGGGTGTCCACAAGTGGGAGGCCTAGCTGAGCAAGTTTATCAAGATCATCTATCTTCTTTGTCAACAATAAGTGGATAAAAAATGTGAAATATATATATAAAGAGAAGCATGGAAAAAAAAAAAAAGCACAGCACTATGAAGTTAGGGGCAGCCACTACAGTACATATTCAATCCCTAGCCAAGGAGGTGACTCACATGTCACAGCAGACCTCTCCTGTCTCCCTGCTGCTCCCCTCAGCAGTATTTCAGTGGATCTGCTCATTCTGCTCTCCACTCTGTCTCTGGTGAATCCTCTCACACCCAGCACTTTTGGGCCACACCCTAGTTCTTGTATGCATAAATAAGTGAGTCTTAAAAAAAAACCACCAACATGTCCTGATCTCTCTTGCATCTATTCTTTCCTTAGGTGATATAGCTATTCCCTTGGCCTTAATTACCATGTATATATTGATGACTCCAACATTTATTACTGTAGCCTAAACTCTCTTAGCTCAAATCATAATCAACTTACCTACCTGATACCTTGATCAGGACATCTGATAAACTTTACAAGTTGATTACGTTAAAAAATAAAGATCTTCCTCCCAATGAAAAAATTAAAAATATTTTCAAATTTAAGAATAATATGACACCTAAATTCCCATCATTGTATATTTCTTAATTATATATGTAAAACCCAAACAATATATTTGTATGTATCCTCCTTTAAAAATGTGTACATAAAATAATAGAACAAAAACTTCATTTGACCACAACCCTCAGTTCAATTCTCTTTTCTTCCTCCCTAGAGGCAATCATAATCCTCAGTTTTATGTGCATTAATAGTTGTTATAATATATTTATATTAATAGGTGAATTCTTAATGTGAAACATGACTGTGTGTGTGTGTGCATTCTGTACATATCACCTCCTTCAGTCCATGTTCAAGAATTTCTCTAGCATCCTATTTACAACTAGAATTGCAGTTTCAGAATATAAATCTTTTCAGCAAATACCATCAATTTTTTTTCATATGTGCACATGATCCAATTTCTATTTCCACCCAAGATACACGTGGAAGTAGCAATATTTATATTAATTTTTTGGAGGGGAAGGTCTGTTTATTGATATGTTGCAACTCACCACCCAACATTGAGCATAGAGGTCGTAAGTAATTTTGCAGAAATTGGAAACAGGAATAAAAATCACTATGACATGTAGATATTTAAAATTTTAAGGTATTTTCCCTTCAATATTTCAATAAGCATGATTTCTTCAGGCATTATTTAATTTTTTTTTAAAGATTTATTTATTTATTCATACAGAACGGGTACAGGCCAGAGATGCGGAGGGTGAGAGGATTCACCAGGAACAGAGTGGGGAGCAGAACAGGCAGATGGAGCAGCTGGCGGGTCAGGAGAGGTCTGCGGCGCCATGTGGTCACCTCCGGGACAGGCGGGAATCGAACTCATGGGGAAGTGGCTTAAGCTTCTTAGTGCTGTGCTTTAAGCCGCTGCGCCACGAGGGAGGGCCCAGGCATTATTTAATTTTAAGTGATATTTTCTATTGCTAGATTTTAGGTTTTTGGCAATTTTATAGTGAAAAATGAAATCTCATTGGCGAAGATCAAATATTGATGATACACAATGTTGGCAAGTTTGTGGGGAAACAGGCATTATACTTTACCTGTAGCGTGTAAACTGGTGCAATGTCTATGATCACTATGGCAACAATTATCAAAGTCATAACTATATATTGCCTATAACCCAGAAATTCTACTTTTAGAAATTTAATCCCACAACATGTACAATCATAGTATATGTGCAGAATGAAATACTGATATTGATTGCAGCACTGCTCATACAGGCAATCATGCTGGAAACAAATATCCATTAAGAGGAAGCTTGTTAAATAAATTATGTCACCTATAATACAATGGATGCTTTATGGACAGCCACTAAGATGGCCCCCAATTATCTTTGCCTCCTGGAACTCATGCTTGGTGTGTGGGACATGGAGCTTCCTTCTAATATATAGAATGTGGCCAAGGTGACAGGATGTTGCTCCATG